CTGTTAGCCTAATAATAACAGCTTAGAATAATGTCTTTATTTTGTAAATATTACATATACTTTTAAGATATTGATCTGTCAAAAGTCCTGACAAATCAGTAAGAATTTAGGCCCTACATGCTGTTGACCTAATTATGGGTTCACCACACCACGAAGTGGTGTGGTGAAAACCATATTGCTTTTTCTGATGTTTCTTCTCCTTCTCCTTCTTCTTCTTCTCCTGCCATTTTTTAAATGGATTCAGCTTCTTCATTTTAGGGCCCAAGGTCCTGAAATTTGGTATGGAGGTACAGTGGGCAAATACCCCTAGGCGTTTTTTAAATTTTTGTGATACAGGCTTTTAGAATGGTTTTATTTGAGTTTTTTGGCTGTGTTATAGCAAATGTATTACTGTGCTGTGTACCACGTCTGGGCATGAGTCATCACAATGGAATGCAGGGCATCAACCAATAGGCATGCAGCTTTCCTCTATACTTCTTGCTGATTGGCTGTTGGGATTTAACTTGATTATTACACCTGCACAGAGCATTTCCACCTGCACAGAGCATTTCTTGCTGATTGGCTGTTGGGATTTAACTTGATTAACACCTGCACAGAGCATTTCCATACTGACAGTATGTCTTTATTCAAGTGTTTTGGTAGGTATTTCAAGCTTTTCTGCTCCAGCATTGGAATGCGGGGCATGAACGTTTTTTTTTTAAATCAACAGTTTGCATTATGCAATTAAAAATCCTAACCAATAAAGTAGGGAATAGCTATCCAACTGTTGTTTTAGTTGTATGTTACTTCATATTATAGTTATATCAATGTAAATCATTGTTTTCCCTTGTGTTTCTCATTCTTTCCCTGCCATGTCGTAAAATGTGGTGAACCCATCGCTATATTTGCTCCAAAGCAAATATTGGCCTTTCTAGTTAATACGAAATTATTGTATCTAGCGCTTGTATTTGGTAGCATTCGTATAGCCAGACAGTCAGGTTTAAATCGATCTTTACTAATACACTACTCAAGTACGTATAATGTCCTTGCACTACTAAACTTCAATACAATAAACTTTAAAGCGTAATTATGGGTTCACCACACCACGAAGTGGTGGTGAACCCATATTGCTTTTTCTGATGTTTCTTCTCCTTCTCCTTCTTCTTCTTCTCCTGCCATTTTTTAAATGGATTCAGCTTCTTCATTTTAGGGCCCAAGGTCCTGAAATTTGGTATGGAGGTACAGTGGGCAAATACCCCTAGGCGTTTTTTAAATTTTTGTGATACAGGCTTTTAGAATGGTTTTATTTGAGTTTTTTGGCTGTGTTATAGCAAATGTATTACTGTGTTAGTGTGCCTTGTTTACCACGTCTGGGCATGAGTCATCACAATGGAATGCAGGGCATCAACCAATAGGCATGCAGCTTTCCTCTATACTTCTTGCTGATTGGCTGTTGGGATTTAACTTGATTAACACCTGCACAGAGCATTTCCATACTGACAGTATGTCTTTATTCAAGTGTTTTGGTAGGTATTTCAAGCTTTTCTGCTCCAGCATTGGAATGCGGGGCATGAACTTTTTTTTATTTTTGAAAATCAACAGTTTGCATTATGCAATTAAAAATCCTAACCAATAAAGTAGGGAATAGCTATCCAACTGTTGTTTTAGTTGTATGTTACTTCATATTATAGTTATATCAATGTAAATCATTGTTTTCCCTTGTGTTTCTCATTCTTTCCCTGCCATGTCGTAAAATGTGGTGAACCCATCGCTGTATTTGCTCCAAAGCAAATATTGGCCTTTCTAGTTACCTATGAATTTTTACGTTTTTTCTTGAGTTTCCAGTATTTTTGCCACGAGTATGGATATCATCCATAGTATGTATCCGTGATCAGAGTGAGAAAAATAACACTAAAACTATAAATGAAAAATATCTAGCAGACAGGAAAACTCTCTTCTTGTTACCTGTGAATTTTTGTGTTACTTCTTTAAGTTCCAGTATTTTTCCAGTATGGATATCATCGCTTCTATGTTGCAGTAATCAAATTAAAAAAAAATAACACTGAAACTTTTAAAATTAAAAAAAGTAGCTAGAAATAGTTTTAAAAATTAAAAGAAAAAGTTAGCAGCGGGTGGTTTCGATCCACCGACCTCTGGGTTATGGGCCCAGCACGCTTCCGCTGCGCCACGCTGCTGTACACACATCTAACAATTAATCCCGAGTATCTTGATAAATAATAGCAAGAATAACGTCAGACAACACTAGTCTAGTACTGTTTTGAACTCAGCAAAACAATCTTCGTCGATCAAGGAAGCGGTAGGAATTCGGTCTTAGAAGTTGTCTGTGTCCATAAATTAACAGTTTAAACAAGAGAAACAAATTAAACAACAAAATCATCAATCAATGTGCAAAAAAACTGAACTTTATTACCCAAATTTCATCTGATTGGTAAGTCATAGGATACTAGTATGAAATGTAAGCAGATGAGAGTCTATATCGGTTGTGTAAAAAGAAAACTACAATATCCTGAGCCAAGGACATACAGTATGCTTTAACCTACCAAGTCTCTACTAACTACGCTGGCTATATACGATGTATAGGAGAATATTTGCCAGGGGAGTTTGGCCGCCTTTGGGGTTTGACTGTGCCGCACAGGAGGGAAAGAACCAACCTTAAATTTAGCGGGCTGACTCGCCTGGCCAATTTTATTCCCCTTTTTCCGTAGTCTGACCAAGTAAACCGCGCTCCTGGCGGCCGTCGCCCTAGTATTATAAAGGTTGCCGCCCCCTTGGGGTGGGGGTCATTGCCGAGAGCTTGTGTAAACCAAGGAGGTTTAAAATCGGGCTATACGATCCGTATTTCCTAGCCTCCACCAGGCCTTTCTACGGGAATACGGATCGTAGAATTAAAAAAAAAAGAGGGTAAAATTGGCCAAGGCCCGGCCACGTGGAGGTAGTTTCTTTCCAGTACGTAAAACCTACAAGGCGGCCAAACTCCCCTGGCAAATATTCTGTAGAAAGCGTAGTTTAATAGTCTGGTATAGAGACTACGTACAATTACCCTGGATGCCAAAACTAGTATCGGGCCGTTAGCCGTTTTCCTTCGGCAGCCGAGAGCCCTTTGCCCGCCTGCCTAAATTAGCGCTGCGGAGGAGTTGAGCCCGAGGGGTTTGTCGAATCGGATGTTGAGGGCCAGCCAAACTCCCCCCGGGCTAGACTCCCCTGTAGCGGTAATTTACACCAGCGGGCGAAGGGCTCTTGCGGCCCGGAAAACGAGTTCTGGATTCCAGGGTAACGTACAATCTATTCCCACAGAAAGGCCTGGTGGTGGCTCAAACCTACCCTTCTGTAGAAGAAGCTGGCTATCACCCTGCGTAGCCGGAGCGCGTACGCCTCTATGTAGTACAGCCCGATCTGCGCGACGTAACTCCCGAGCACGATCCACAGGTACCACGGGTCCAGCTGGGTCGGCTGCGGCAGACAGGCTGGGGGAAAAAAAGTAAATCAGTGATTTTAATTTAATTTAAGACCATGCTGATTTGATTATATGGATGATATCCTATGGGAACCCCAAAACTGATGCGAGCGTGCGGATAAAAAAAAGTTTGGCCTAAAAAGTTGATTTCATTATGAAATCTACGTGGTTTTGAAGGTTGAACAAATGACACAAAGTATGGTTTGGCGAATAATCTAGTCTTCAAATTCAAGGTACATATGTATATAAAATACTGTCTCGATAAGATACTAAGTGTTTATACAAAAAATCCAATGCCTTATAACGTTTTCAAACATTGCATCGATATTTCAAGTTGACATTTTAGATATCCTACGCATAGAAATGCTGAGTACTCAGTTATAATACATTCTCTCTCCCTTTCTCTGTCTCCCTCTCTCTGTCTCTCTCACTGTATTCCTGACTCTCTCTCTCTGTTTCTCTCTGTCTCTCTCTCTGTCTCTCTATCGATCTGTCTCCCTGCCTGTCTATATCTCTAGTATCTGTCTCCGTCTCTCTCTCTCTGTCTCCCTGTCTATCTCTAGTATCTGTCTCTGTCTCCGTCTCTCTGTCTCTCTATCGATCTGTCTCTCAGGCTGTCTCCCTGTCTGTCTATCTCTGGTATCTGTCTCTGTCTCCGTCTCTCTCTCTCTCTCTGTCTCTCTATCGATCTGTCTCCCTGCCTGTCTATATCTCTAGTATCTGTCTGTCTCCGTCTCTCTCTCCGTCTCTCTCTCTCTGTCTCCCTGTCTGTCTACCTCTAGTATTTGTCTCTGTCTCCGTCTCCGAGTCTCTCTCTGTCTCTCTGTCTCTCTATCGATCTGTCTCTCTGTCTCCCTGTCTGTCTATCTCTAGTATCTGTCTCTCTCTGTCTCCCTGTCTCCCCCTCTCTCTCTCTCTTAGCGATACTGATACAAAGTACATGACTAAACCCTACGTTTGTTGGTGCTGACATGGTGGAGCGTGTGTGCCTGGTTGTGCATGGATCTGAACATGGTCTTCATGATCTTCGCGATGGCGCCGCTACCGAGGACCTTAACACTCAGCTGGTGATGCCCTACATACACGAAAAAACACACATGGAATAGAGAAATACGGGAAAACTCTGTCATTTGATGTGGATGTGTATACACCGTGCTTTACTAGCAAAAGGTATTGCGTTAGCCTGGAGTCCAGCCTTGTTAGCTTTAGTCCGCTACCCCGCCCCTGTTGCTGACCACTACTGTTTAGTTTGTTATCATGTTTGTGCAATTAGGCCACAGCAAGTAATTTCTATGGATGACATCAGCGCGCGCATGAAGTTTCGCCTGATTTTGTAAAAAAAACAAAAAACAAGAAATTCTGTTGCCTTCTGACAGTGGTCAACATGCCGAAAATGGGCAAAGATGTCTGTTGCCATGCCGGAAGGTGGATGGCAGATAACTATGAAGAGAGGAGACAAGACAAGGCTCTGATTCAATGTTTTGTTTCTCACTTTGATGCAGTGATATGTGATGTTGGCTGTGTATATGTGATGTTCCCACTGAATAAAAACCATTTGTACAATGATTGAGTCAAAATTTTAAACTGTAGGAACCTTGTTTTTTTTCGGCCCGCCTTGTTTTTTTTTGGCCCGCTCGCATTAGATTTGGAGTCTGAAGAGGATGTCATCCATAGAATTTACTTGCTGTGGCCTTTATATTAATAGCCCCCAGGCATGGATTTGCAATAAGCTGTCACCAATTAAAAGCTAACAAGGCTGGACTCCAGGCTAGTATTGCGTATGTATACATACGGAAAATGCAAAATGTATATACTATACACATATACATTGTATATACATGATACAACAATCTGTACATTTTACAATTTCCTTACTTAATAAAGTGTATCTGTATCGATAAAGCCGGTATAACCGACCTTCTGAAGTTCGGCGTAACACACCAGCTGTAAGAATAGCTTTACGCCATTTGCGACGGAAAAGACGTGCAACAGCCTGTGCTTCTTATCACTTTCGCTAGAGGGCGCAGTTGAGCGATGTCTAAAGCCTACCTTTCATGGTGGTGGTAACCAGACTGTGGCGGCGAATGATGTCAAGACTTTCGAACAGTAGATAGTCCAGGAAGAAAACCACCAGAGCGAACACAACCTGCCCGAAAACCAGGATAAGGCCCTTCGTCTGTTGAGGAGGAAAAAAAACCTACATCAACAACCGTGGTCAACATCTGTGATTGCCCAACTATTGCGCAATCACATGTACAGAATAACATTTTAGACTTGTATCAGTAACCTCGTTTTACTTTATCTATGAAAATAAAAAATAATAAAAAATGCAAATGTTAAAGAGCTTCGTTATATATAAATACTAGTTCTGAAAATATACAGTAAAATGAAAAAAAAAAATATTTTCGCCCAACGTGGGGCTCGAACCCACGACCCTGGGATTAAGAGTCCCATGCTCTACCGACTGAGCTAGCCGGGCTGCCATGCTCGCAGTAGGCGATATTGGGCCATTGGCTAATTTTGTCAACAATGTAGTTGTGTTGTACAATTCAGGACACTTGTACAACACTTGGGTCAGAAAGCTGATGACGACTTTTACGAAAATTTACGAAAATTCTGGTGGGTTAAATTCTTTTTGAGTTAGAGACAGTCCAATTTTTGTTATAAATTCCGGAAATATTTGATCGGTTTTTTTTTTACCAATTTTGCTTTTTCATGGCTCATCAGCTTCATCTTTGTGGGGTAAATGATTTCATTTTCCTCCGCTTTCTTCAGAGGCAGTAGCGTCCTCTTCCCCTGGTGAAAGAAGAAAGAAAAAAAGAAAGTTACAAAAGATGAAACCTGTTTTTGCGCCTTTTATTTAAATTTACAAGTTATCGAAAAAAAACAAGCATCGCGCTTCGCCTCAAGTATTGTGCTTAATTTTTGTCAAACTTCAATGATATATTTTCAAGAACGCGACTCACTTCAAAAATATTATGAAAATTTATCAAGAACTACTTGATTCGTTTTGTTTGTAAACAATTAAGCGCATGTGGCAAAACATTGTCAGTTTCATAGATGAAGAAAAAAGTATTTAATCTTGTCCTGTCTTTATCTTATGTAGCATCTTGTCCTTGTCTCCAGGGTTAGTCCTTCAAAATACTAGTAGTCTTGTCACTAGTTGGGCAACCCTGGCTCTCTTTTGTACAGCTGAACTAAAAAAAAAAAATAAAGTGAAAAAAAATCATTTAGCAGCGGGTGGTTTCGATCCACCGACCTCTGGGTTATGGGCCCAGCACGCTTCCGCTGCGCCACGCTGCTGGTTGTAACGTTTTTTAGAAGTTTTTTTTATCAAAACGGCTCAAAATCATCAACATGTGTCACGTGGATAAATAAGTAGCTCAAAAAAGTTATTCGCCCAACGTGGGGCTCGAACCCACGACCCTGGGATTAAGAGTCCCATGCTCTACCGACTGAGCTAGCCGGGCTATCATGTCTATAGTTGCCCACCCGAAAAGATCTTCTATTTAGCCAACTTGGTGATTGGCATGCGGTTATTGTTTTCCAGGCATACTTATCTGACTCACTGTAAAGATATGTACTGTGGCCGATAGGTACAAGTCCACCACTACTACAGCTAGAAAATTAGTTTGTCGCAAGTGTTTATCTACTATATTCCTGTACAGTTTTGTGCTCTCTTCATGTAATTCTTATGTTAATATACTAGTAATACAATAATCCCCGAAGATATAACACAGCCTTGTCGGCTCAAAATGTTGTCTTCTCTACACTTAGACTTAAAACAACTTGAATGTAACGTTACAGCTAAACGAGCGAACCAACTTGGTCTTAACTGGCCATTTCTAGTCGAACACGTCGATCCACTTGTTCTGTTCCGTGTTCTATTTTTTCTACCTGTTCCATTCGGTTCTATTTGTTCCACCCGTTCTATTCGTATTCCATCTATTCCACCAAGGCAAGTGTATGTTCGAAATAGAGCAGGTGTTCGAAATATAGCAGGTGTTCGAAATATAGCAGGTGTTCGGAATATAGCAGGTGTTCGAAATAGAGCTGGTGTTCGAAATAGAGCAGGTGTTCGAAATAGAGCAGGTGTTCGAAATAGAGCAGGTGTTCGACATAGAGCAGGTGTTCGAAATAGAGCAGGTGTTCGAAATAGAGCAGGTGTTCGAAATATAGCAGGTGTTCGAAGTAGAGCAGGTGTTCGAAATAGAGCAGGTGTTCGAAATAGAGCAGGTGTTCGAAATAGAGCAGGTGTTCGAAGTAGAGCAGGTGTTCGAAATAGAGCAGGTGTTCGAAATAGAGCAGGTGTTCGAAATAGAGCAGGTGTTCGAAATAGAGCAGGTGTTCGAAATAGAGCTGGTGTTCGAAATAGAGCAGGTGTTCGAAATAGAGCAGGTGTTCGAAATAGAACAGGGGGCGTGGCTAATGACTCACCGCCCGTCTCCTGCGCGCGTCTATCCGCCGGAAGTACCCGGTGATGTACAGGTTGTCGAAGTCAAACTTCGTGCAGAACTTCCGCTGGTACGTGTGCGCCCTGGGGCCGGGTAGAAAGAAGAATTTAAGCTGGAATGCGCACTGTGATGTTACTAAAATGTGTGCACAAGAACTATTTGTTGAATCTTGTTCGTAAATTAAGATACGTTGTTTTAAACAAATTTATACCGTCATTTACCTAGATCGATAAAATATCTGCGCAACACTTCTCTTCGATAAAATCCTTACACTCAATAAAAAATTAACGTCAGACAATATAAAAAGACGGAATCTTTTTCTGGAAAAAGAAAGTTAAAAAATGTTTAAAATAGCAGCGGGTGGTTTCGATCCACCGACCTCTGGGTTATGGGCCCAGCACGCTTCCGCTGCGCCACGCTGCTGGTTGTGTTTTTTTGAGACGTTTATAATAAACTGACGAGCATAATTATTGGAAGACGGGGCCCCTCACTCTCTTTAAACAAACAAATGAAACTATTCACCGATCGACGATACTGACTATTACCGAGTTGTAAAACAATTCTCGCGAGAAAAATTGCAGACTCACGAGAGGAGCGTCAAGACTAAAAGAAAGGCGAAGATTTTGTTAATGACGGCTGAGAAGAAGCGGAAGACGGCCATCCTCTGCCGGAACTCCTGGTCTATCGCCAACCCGACGTCTTCTGCCGTCTTCAGGTCCAGATTCTTCGGCCGAGAAATTATCTGTGAGGAGGAAGAAAAACAAGAAATGGTAAAAAAAAAACCGTTCCTTTTTTTTACCATATTTTACCAACAAAAGTCAGCAACCGGATAACCCCCAGAGTAATTTGAGAGAGACAATCTTTTGAGAGAATTTCGAAAAATATACTTCGCCCAACGTGGGGCTCGAACCCACGACCCTGGGATTAAGAGTCCCATGCTCTACCGACTGAGCTAGCCGGGCTGCGTTCACCATTCAACAGACGCATTCACCATATTCATTGTGCTTGACATTCGATAGCGTATTCAGGCGGCGTTGTCTAAACAACGCGTCAGAGTCAATAGACTCAATAGGGTAAAAATAGCGCGGACGGAAACATGATCCGGTAACGCCTCCTAGCGAAACATGAGCAAACTGCACCTGGTATTCCATCTTGGCGTCGAAATGCTTGTCCAGTTCTTTGACTGAGCCGCCGGAACTGTCGTAACTCTTGCCGAAACCCTTGTCAACAGCTTTCTCGTCGGAGCACATGCTTGCTAAAAATGACAAAACGGACAAACGTTAAAAAACTATCCCTCTCTCCCTCCCTCTTTCTCTGTTTCTTTCTCTCTTACTACCTTATATTTTCAGACCGCGTTTCTGTGTGTTTGTGTGTGTGTGTATGTGTGTGTGTGTGTGTGTGTGTGTGTGTGTGTGTGTGTGTGTGTGTGTGTGTGTGTGTGTGTGTGTGTGTGTGTGTGTGTGTGTGTGTGTGTGTGTGTGTGTGTGTGTGTGTGTGTGTGTGTGTGTGTGTGTGTGCGCGTGTGTGTGTGTCTGTCTGTCAGTGAAACCACGGGTGGATGGATCTTAATGATATTTCGTACGTGGATAGCTTGTTACAAAAATTGGAAATGCGTGAATTTTGGGGCCCCTGG